AGGGGGGAAAAGGGGAGGGGGTGTTTAATGGTTGGCTTGGATTTTTTCTCCTTTTTTTCTCTTTGGTTACTGATTTTTATTTTTTTAAGTTACACTTATTTACAGAAAATAGGGGAGGGGCTTAAGCTAAAACATTCTCGTCTACTCAAATGGCCATGCTGTAACTCAAGTTTCTCGTCACTCCAGGCAACAACAGCGGACCGGACACAAGAACTGTCAGAGGCGGCGGACCTGTCACATGCCATCGATGATGTGGCCAATGGCGTGCAAGAGTGGGCAGAGCAAGCCGAGGGCGTGGTGAGGGAGGAGCTTGCCTGGACAGACTTTGACAGACTCAAAGAGCAACTGCGGGCCCACAGGGTGAGTTGATTACATTACTTGCATGAGTGTGCATGCAACTGGTACTGCTTTGTTGCTACCCATAACGGAAAGAGCTTACAACTAATTCCAGTTAACTCCTGACCCTTTAGTAGAAGTAGAAGAATAAAAGTACAGTCGAGCCTGTTCTTACGGCCACATGTCCAGGACAATTACCAGTACAACCCCCCCCCCCCCCTTGCGTTTTTTTTTCAAATTGTAATATAATGTCTGTGCCCAAGACGTCTATCTTTTTAAGATTACTATTTTTCTCATCGACTATAACATGCACTTATATTATATGGTATGCCAACTCTCTGTTTGTTAAGAGTTTTACAGTGCTCGCAACTGCGTAAGGTCATAATAATATGCTGCAGCTCTTTCCGTTGAGATTTTGTAGTTTGTCAGGGTTCCCTTGATTTCTCCTTTGTTTCTTTCCTAACAAGATGTATCCACCGTCGGCTTGCTAGTCCATTAACTTGAATAAACAAAAATAGTACATGTATTTACATAATCCGTTCTCAGCGTGTGCACAAGGAAATCGACTCTAACCAAGACAAGGTCGTTGCCCTGAGCGCCATGGTGAAGCAGTTGGAGCAGGTGTGTGACTCCCCGCGAGCCAACACACGTGTCCTTGACCTCAAAGGTCGCGTTCAGACCGTGCAGACCAAGGCAGGCGTACAAGTAAGTGGAGCTACGATTTGGGCTTCTTTCGTATTATTGTTGGTTTGGTGGTAGTGGTGTCTCCTTTTCCTCTTCCCCTTCTTCGCCCTCCTCCTCCTCCTCCTCCTCCTCCTCCTCCTCCTCCTCCACCTTTTTTTGTTCTCATCAGGCTTCTTCATATAACAGAAAGTTGTCCGTCGGAGTGTACTGGCAAACATTTAGCGTGACATGTATACGTACTGTGATTTTTGCTGTTACTGACGTCTGACTTGACCCTTTACTATAACTTGGAATTAGCAGAATTTACAAATGGGGTTTATTCTACTAGCCGGGCCCCCTTTCGATGAAAGGAATAATCGATGCATTAATATCAACTGAAAGGCATTGGTCTATACTACTATATTTACCCTCTACTGGAATGGAGCAAAAAACCTTGAGAGATGAAAAAAAATAGGTCGAGATCCATACTCTAAATACAAAATGCGCCTCGTAAAAAAACACTTCCGGCGTTTCCGCTGTGGAGGACAGGTACCCAGATTTGTTTCGTTTCCCAATGGAATAATCACAAAGGCCAAAGTAGGACGGGAATTATTTGTCAAACATATTTGGCATTATTTGCCTAAATTCAGGAAATGAATGAATCAAAAATCGGGCTCCGTCATGGGGACCTATCTATCTTTTTGCAGGTACTTGTTAACTTTCAACTCTGTAGCTGTGGCAGTTTTATGGGAAAAGTGACCCATGTGTTTCCAAGTTGCCAAATATATTATAGATAAATGTAAGGGTAGATCAGATCTAATAGTAGTATAGTCACTTCCATTTTACTCATTATAAATGTATCCTCAGTTGTCTGCCTTGGAAGATGCCAACCGCCGAATGGAGGACTTCGAGAAAGAGGTCAACGAACTGATGAGATGGCTGGAGTCCACTCGGGCCAGGATGACCATGAGGGACACCACACGTGACCTCAGAGACCAGCTGGCCGTGCAGGAGGTAAGCTTCTGGCCCGTCAAGGTGGTCGG